CGTCTCCTAAATTCTCTTTTAAGTTCACACCGTCATGTGGCTGTACTTTTATAAATAGGAGCATTATTTTTGATCGCACCTCCCTTTGTTAACTCATGTATACGTCGCCCTGAGATACGTGCGGTACGTACTTTCTCCGCTCTTATCTTCTCTTTATCAACTGCATCTGCCTCATTACTATTCTACGACATTCATTATTTTCTGTCCGCTCCTATTTACATTTCGCGTATACACACTCTATTTTCGCGCGGCTCGCTGGGTGAGGCGAGGCGAGGGCGGAGGGGGGCGAGGCTGTCGCGTCGGTGCTTAATCGCCTTAACTAGAACTTTGCCGCGCCGTTCGCACCGCGAAGACGGCGAAAATCGCCAAGCCTCTCCTCCTCTCCTCCTTCTGCCGATTGTCTTTTTCGAATTCGACTTTTCGCGAGAAAGCGAACTCTTTGAATGCGAGCACGAGCTAGCGGGCGAAAATTAACGTGACAATGCGCGCAGCGGCTCCCTTCCCGTTGAGCTTTTGGGTCTGTTTTATATAATAAAATTATTGTTATTATTATTAATCAATCCAATTTCGTTCGCAAAGTTGAAGAGTCGCATGTTCAAGATTGCCTGAACTTCGAGAGATAATCTCTGCTGCTATAAGACTCGACGTTGAAGAAAAATATATGCTTGTAAAAATTCGGTACAGGCGATACAAATTGTCCTCTAGCAATTATGCGACCGGTGATTCGTTGCGAACCCTCGACACACATTGACATACACACACATACACGTACACACACAGACACACACACATAGAACACGTAGGAGCATGGCATTTACGTGACGGCTCGCGCCACGACGGACCGTCCTCGCCGGGCGGTCGTGATAACGAACGGATTTAATACAACCCCGGTGGTCTTGCATTAGCGGAGGTGCAGAGGTAGAACACAGAGGGCGAGCGCGGCGGCGGGGTGGGACGGGCGGGAGAAGGAACAGGATGACGGGAAGCCAACGCGAGGAGAGTTGGAGGCGAAAGTGGAACCACGTCTGCTCACTGCCTACACACATCCACGTTGCCAGCGTCGATTATCCGTTCTGACACTTTCCGAGTTTACTTCCGGCCAGCCGCGCCCCGTTCCCGACTATTCCCTGGAGACGGGGAATCGCCCCGCCGCCGCTTCTTCCACCTCGTAACTCCTTCTTCTCTGTCCACCTCGGCCGGAGAGATGGACTCGAAGCGAAACGTCTGACCGCTCGGGGAACAAACTCTGCGGCGGCGGCGGCGGCGGCGGTGAGGCGGCGCGCACACGGTGTGCCGTTTTGAAGTCCGGTCTACTGTTGACCGGTGGTCGATCAAATTCCGTAGGGGCGAGTCATTCAAGGCCGTCGACGAGATGAGACAAAACCCTCGTTCTCTCCGGCGCAGTCATTTCCCCGCCTCTCGTTTTGTTTTTTTCTTTCTCTCTCTCTCTCTCTCTCTCTCTTCTCTCTCTCTCTCTCTTCTCTCTCTCTTCTGCCGCTCCTCTCTCCTTCCTCTCTTTTCCTGGTCGGTTCCAGCGGAGAGGCGGCGGCGGCTGGCGGTCGTCGCTAGTTTCAAGTCGATGCGAAAAAGACAAGTTGACGCGGAGCCGACGAAGACCGGCATGGCAGCTGTCGAATTGTACACGGCGAAATTCGCTGTTGACGCCGCTGAATATACGGTGAAACCTGGTGCTGTCGATGCGGGATGAAAGGCCGCGGGAGAAGGGCGGCGGGGGGGGACGACAGGGAGGAGGAGTGTCGCCTTCTGTTTTCGGATCCCTGCGTCCGATAGCGATATCCTCGATCCGTCCGCAGCGTGGAACTGCAACGTTGTAATAATTATATAACAATGCGAAAGATAATATCGGTACACGGAATCATTCATCGCGGGTGGTTGCGCTGATAAATTTTAATTGGAATGATTCGTAACGTGCAGCCCCGGAAATTTAAAACGAAATCTATTTTCGTGTACGGCGGGCAAGCGTTAGCAAAGCAGGCGGGCGCGGCGCGGCGCGCCTGCCTTTTGGCGTGGCTGCTGTGTTGCTTTGCAGTAAAAGACGGGAAAGAGGAGAAATTTATTCTTGCCGTTTATCGTTGTCGATACATTTTTCGAACCGCATTAAAGGCACTAGCAGCTGCGCGAGCCCGGCGAATTATTGCCGATGAGCAACCGTCTCATCGCTGCGCCGCGCGCGCGTGGAGAGAGAGAGAGACGAGAGAGAGAGAGAAGAATGGGCGGGCGGATACGCGGCAGCACGCGTTGTGGACCCCAGCCACGCCGTCATTCCAATTAATAATTCAATCATCGTTCTCGATTGGGATTACCTTTTGGCGAAAAAAATAAAAAGGGGGATAGAGAGCGCGCGGACGAGCCCGGGGCGAAACGCAGGAGAGGCTGTCATTACGCGCAATGGCC